TTTAAGGTGTGTTTATAAATAACAAATTTTAATATTTTATATGTTAAGTATTAACCCATTGACTGCAGCTGCTCTAAATGCATGCAGAATTTTTGCAAGCCATACACTGTATACTGTACACTTGCATTCAACTGCCATAAAACACATAATACTCTGTAAGGCAAATCAGTAGTCAGTGGGTTAAATATGATACTTTATTGCCACAGGACTTGTGTTTGTAGTTATTTGAGTAGTCTGTACTTTTAATGCTTGGAGACGGCTTGAATGGATAATGAAGAAACTCTTTAGTACAAGTTTAACTTAACAGCAAATGTACAACGTTTTGACAAAGTTTTGTCATCATCAGGTACACACACCGGCCTCTACATCCCCTGGAATTCCACTCATGACACCACACAAAAAATCAATACACTGAAAAGCCTCATAAACACAGCCACAAGACTCTGTTCAATGGACTACATAGATGAAGAAATCAACCACATAAAGCATTCCTTCATTCACACCAACAAATTTCCATCAGCTATTGTTGAAAAACTCTCCAACATTCACCACAATAAATCTCAACTCACAAACAAAATTGATACTAACAAACCCAACAACAGAAGATTACACTGCAGTTTACATTTTGTCCCTGAAGCCAGCTCAAAAATAATCCACACTTGGACAAAACTAGCCATTAGACAGAAACTTCCTGTCAATGTCAAATTCTCTCAAAAACCTGGCCCTAAATTAAAATCGTTACTAAATAAAAATTATTCAGAATCACACAATACCAATGTCATGTCATTTACAAAATAACATGCAATAACTGCCCAGAATTCTACATCGGAGAAACAGGAAGAAAATTGGAAACCAGATTAACAGAACACAATAAAAAAACCATCCCAAGTTTTCCACCATTGCAACTCAAAAAACCATAGTATATCTGTTAAAAACACAGTAATTTTAAACAAAGAACCAAACATAAACAAACGAAAAATCAAGGAATCCATCTTAATTGAATAAAACAACCCCATTCTAAACCAACACCCTGGGGTTCCAACATATCTCTTCTAAGTCATGCAACAATATCTGGTCATGTGACCTCTTTGTTCCATACTGTATGTATATATATCTGTGTCAGTGTAAACTACTTGTACCTGATGATGACAAAACCTTGTACATTTGCTGTTATGTTAAACTTATATTAAAGTTTTCTTCATTACCCATTCAAGTCGTCTCCAATCATTATTAGACTCAAAGTGGGTTCCTCGTCATCGAATTAGTCTGTACTTTGTCTTAGCCTTAGAAATTGGTGTATTTATTGAGGCTTCAGGCTCAAAGAGGGCCTGAAATTGAAAGGGTAGTTATGCAATGGTGAAGTTTAAATTATTTAGTAATTAACAGAATACAATTTTTGAGACTTTTATCTACAAGTAACCTGAAATATTCAAATACCAGAATTGGAATTATTAAGAGTGTAAAGTTAAATTTTACAGGTAGTTCAGAAATGGTGCACCAGTGAATAATTTCTTCTTTTATTGGATGCTTGCTTTGGGAAAATGGGAAAAGTATTGATCAAGTCTCCTTAGAATAAATTGTTTTATTTAGAAGCATCAGAAATATGTATTTTGTATATGTCTCTTTCTTCTGTTATAACTGAAATAAAAAACAATATGTAATGTTAATGTTACCCTCGGTATTTTAGTAATACATAATGTTATTCTCACATTTAATCATTGTGATATTGGCTGTAAATTGAAAGTACTGGATGCATGCATCAGGTACTATTCCTGTACATTATCCTTATTAATCACCATATAAAACAAATGTCCTGAGAAATTTTTATATCATCTAATTTGAATTTCATATTACATACATTTTCACTTTTACCTTGAAAAAATGTTTGGCCATGGATGTTCTTAGTATATCCCCAAACAAGACTGTTTAAAGTCTAACCTGGATTACATGGCCACCTGTTCAGCATGCAGATCACACAAGGCATGCTTGATATAGAGTTAGTTTTCTACTATCATTATCTACTATCATATTTTTTATGGATCTTCAACATCGTGTTCACACAAAATCAGTTTAAACACCACAATGGAATAATCATACAAGAGCATTATGTACATTGGTCAAACAGACTAGTTTATTCCATTTACCATCATTGCTTCAATGCTTGGAAATGGTTTAAAAATGGACATTTAAAGTATAACTTTTGGATAGGATGATGCATTTAGCTTTATTCTACTCCCTAGCATGGATCCTTTGCTACGATTGGCCAAGGAGGCATCACGTGTTATGAAACAATTTCAATGTTGCGTTGAAAAGTCAGTCAGCGAATTGCCTCAATGTAACACAGTTGTCCAGACCATTGCCAATCATGCTGACATCACAGCAAAACTTTGCAGATGACAGTTTTTTGCAGCACAGTGAAAACATGCTGATTCATTTACACCTAATTACAAACAACTTGCTCAAACCCAGAAAATGAATGTGGACATATTTTATAGTGTGAGATTTCAATTACTTACAGAAGAAGAGCTACAGAGTCATTTAGGAAGCAGAACTTAGTAGACTATAATTTTTTGCAGCACAGTGAAAACACATATATTCATTTAGGCCTAATTTGCAAACAACATCAGAAATATTGCCAGCATTTTGCACAAATTTTCTGCTGAAGTTAGACAGGTGTGTACTTTATATGTTTATTGGTATGATCTCATGATGATGAGCTGTTATATTTTTAAAATTATAAACAATTTATAAATCTTATTCTTAAAATTAAATCAAAATCTTTAATCAAATGTTAAAATTTAAGATTTACATATAAGCACAGGGATGTAGACTAAATGCATTGTCTGACAACACTAATTAATCAGGTTTTATTAAAACTGAAAACAGAAGGAGGGGTAGAATAAGACAATTATTGACTGCTTATTTTGGGCAACAGATTATTTGTTGCCCTCATAACCAGTTAATAATTGTTCAATGTGACATGTTTTGGTAGTTCTCAAAGTTATGATTAATATTGCAAGTTTTGTTTGAATATCATATGCCAGGGTCAACTCACTACCAGCATGTTTATGCTAAATTAACGTGTAAGCTTGATGCCAGTAAAGGGAAAAAAAAACTTGTAGAGGGGATCTGATTGAGGTATTTAAGATTGTTAAAGGAATAGATAGTGTTGATGCATCATCTTTTTTTCCTTTCTTTTTGTTTTGTTTTGTTCTTAATGGTGAGAATGGTAAGACAAGGAGGCACAAATAAAATTTTGACAGAGTTCAGTTAAGATAGCTTTATTTTTCTGGCAGGGTGATTGGCCTTTGGAATGGGTTGTCTTCAGATGTGGTAGTTGCAGTTAATTTAAGGGAAGGCTTGATAAATATTTGAATGATAAGGGCTGGCTGTGGGTGTTTTATTATTATTTTAGAGTTTACTATAGTAGATGGTACAGCCAAGATGTTGTGTTTAAATTTCATGTGTACATATGTATGTTTAAATATAATGTATTTATTAGTGAGCCAATACATAAGATTTATTTGGGCAGACCAGATCTGAGCTAGTATTTTTTATTTTGTTTTTCACACTTCCTGGTCTTAAATGTCAAGTATAAATTCAAAGTTGCTTATTTTTATTATTGCAATAAACATACTGTCACTCTTTATTTATCTTATAAATAAAACTTGGAGAAACAAGCACCACAAACATAATTTAATCATTAGTTTTTTTATGGTGGTGTTTTACACTTTTGTTTTCAGTGAGCTTTATGTCATCTAGTTTTATTAGTATTATATCCTAAAACTAGTGTACCACAAACCTTCCAAAACTTTTCAGTAATATTTTAATATCTTGAAAATTAGTCAATTTTAAATGTTGATATTCTTCTTTCAGTAATATAACAGTAAATTAAAACTTCACTTAAGAAAATTCTTCTGATAACTAATTTTTGTGGAGTCCATTTATGAAAACCTTCTTGAGTGGAAAGCTGCAGAAAAATAATAACAACTGATCTTCATCATTAAGTTATATCATATATCAACTGTTCTTCATCATTAAGTTGTATAATATATCAACTGATCTTCGTCATTAAGTTGTATGATATATCAACTGATCATCATCATTAAGTTGTATAATATATCAACTGATCTTCATCATTGAGTTATATAATATATCAACTGATCTTCATCATTAAATTATATAATATATCAACTGATCTTCATCATTAAATTATATATTTCAAACATTATATTCAACTGTTATACATATTTATAAATAGGACTTTATAAGTTGTTTTCAGGCATAGCATTGAAAGAAACTCTCCATAATTTAAAGTCTTGATAATTATACAAATAAATATTCTTTTCTCTCCTTCGGTTGACGTAAAACTTCATATATTTATTGTTACTTTACAGCTATTATAGAAGGCACCTTTGGTACAAATATGCCTTTGCAGCACATGCAGAAAGATCTCTGCCTTGCACTGGAAGTTGGTGACCAACTTGAACAGCCATTACCTCTTGCAGCTGCAGCCAATGAGGTGAGATGATGGAACTTTAAACATTTCCTAATATTCTTTAATTTACAACGTGTATGAATGAAGAAAATGTGATCTTATGTTAAATATTAATGTCTAAAGTTCATGTTCTTAGTGATTCCAGCATGTAGTTTACAAGAATAGTAACTTATAGTATGGTAACTAGCTCAACACATGCACAGAGTACTTAAAATGGATCAGGATTTGATTCTAATTGAACAAGTTGTTTTCCAAATGAAATCAGTTATCCTTTTTGAGACTGGAGTAAAAATGGTAGTAATTTCTATCAAATTTAGAGGAAAGAAATGGAAATAGAAATAATTTTTACATAGAACTTTTTTTAATACGAATAGTATTCATTTTCTGCATTAATTATTTTTCCCAAAATAAAAATGATGTTTATTCTGATTTTCTAAAAATAATTTCACATTACTATAATTCAAAGCTTAAAGTTTTCAGTGTATAAGCAAAATTAATTTTTTTCTCAAAAACAAATTTACAGTTGAGCACATTCATTGTATAGATAGATAGACACAAACATGAGAAATTACAGTAAAACTCAACTCATGAAACATTTGTTGTTTTTCTATGGACACCTTTCATTGTGATTCCTGTACATAATGAGGGGACCTCCTATGGAAGATTCTTTCTGTACTGTTTACCTTCTCTATATTCCAAACTTTGTTCACATGTTGCTATGTGTTGCAACTCATGAACAGGAACAGAGGATCCCAGTGGTTCAGTGGTGCTTGTGTCACTACAATATACCACTCTAGCCTTGAATTCAAGAAGAAAGGAAGCCCTGGAGTAGCCCCCTCAGGATCAGTCAGTTTGTCAGTTGTGGCTAGAGTCAACTGAGTGCTAGTATTGTACATTCTAAACTGGTGTAGTGGACATTATGTCTTGTACTGGTGATCAGGTATACTACCTACAAAACCTTGGTACTGCTGCACTTTACTCAGTTTATTAATCTTTTGATAATATAGTTTGGTGGGTGGGGTCAATGAACACATAATTTATCTTTTTTTTTCTCTCTCTCTTTTCTTTTTCATGGCATCCTATGAAATTATAGAAATATTGGATAAACCACAACCTATTGAAGACCCCACAAATAAACAGTTTTATACTCTTTTATTACAAATTTAGTTTTCTAAAACATCCCTTTTTCAACTAAAATTGGTTAGAGGCATCAACACAGGGATTATGAACTTTGTGCTTGTTCATTGCAACATGACCACAAGACAGTGAACTCCTTTATAACTCTAAGGTCATTGGAAACATATCTGTTGAGGTAACCTCACTTAGTACCTTGAAAGGAGCAATTGTTGAGAGGAATCTTCTTAACTTCCCTGTGTTGAAGATTCTCTAATCAAAGAGTTTCAGAGATTGGGCAAATCTCCACTCGTAAAAATGGAATGTTTGAGCTGACTAGAGTTCTGATTTTGATGTTTACATCACCACATTTACCTTCCACCATAAAGCAGGTTATCTGAACTATAAAGTCAGGCTATATATATATTCCCAACTCTCTCAGACGTTTTCACTGTCAGTAATTTGAATTCCACGAAACATCTTGACATGGTCTGTATTTTTTGCAGTGGCAAAGGTAATGATAGCCACATGTCCATTAGAGCCATACTCTGTCAACTGTTCAGGCTTCCATCCCTCCTATTTTAGATCATTCCCTAAATGTGTTAAGGAAAAAGACGTAAAGAAAGTTCAAACCTTGAATAACAACCCTTATCAAGAGGCGTGGAAGATGATGACATCTTTTCCAAAATGTAGTTGTTAGATATGGGAAGTTACTGGTCTTTGCTAATTGGTTAATGGATGGCCCCATTAATCAGTTTACACAGCATTCTTCCAACCATGGTGTGTACATGCAAGCAAGGAAAATAAAAATGGCAATGGGTGCTGCCAAAGAGTTTGCCTACCTTCTAGTTAGTGATTCACTAAAGAAAAACATAAATTGGTGGTGGATGCTACAAGCCAGTTGCCTTCCCCTCCTAGTCAGCAGTTAAACATTAGTGACAGTTGTATATAACCTTACTAGCTTTGCCATGACAAAGACAGAGTGATTTCAATGACTTGGGTAATTGAAATAATCGAAAATACTAATAAATAGAAACACTAATTTTGATTAGTTGATTATTTTCATGATATTCAATATAATTGGAATTTAGGTTATTCAATTGTTGGAATAATGAAAGACTAATAATTGGAAACATTAATTTTAATTAAATGATTTAATTGGCATTTCAACTAATCACTATAATCGCTACCCATAGGTGATCGATTACGTTGAATAATTAGCCCAGCTCTGGTAGTTATGCATCAGTATTCTTTTTCACAGTAACAATGGAAGTGAAAATAGATGCCTCTGTTCCACCCACAGAGACTCTCTTTGGCCATTTAAAGGTACAAGCCTGTTGATAAATGTATTTAAAAATAAAACTAATGAGTGATCTGAACCAGTTCAACCGGTCTCAATTTGCAGGATTAATTTTTTATCTTGTCCTCAGTACTTGAATCTCATCCATCTAATTATGATCTGCCCTTTTTATCCAGAAAAGAGTCCATGGAGTTGATACTCCTCTGGGGAAAAAATAAATAAATTAGTTTAAAATCAGAACAGAAAAGCTCCTTGCCAAGATTTCCTCCACAATCTTGAAAATGGCCAAACTAATACAATGGAACTCTTGAGGTTTTCTTGCTCTTTTACATTATATTAAGGTTTTGGTTAATTCTCACCATCTTGGCATCTGAAATCTGATGATACTATCACCATTTGGCATTTTTCATTATACAGAAAGGATATTTTGTATGATGGACAATTTCAAGGAGGAATAACACTGCTGGTTAAATAGCATGTTCCTTCCTTAAATGTTCCACTCACTATGCCTGTAGAGAACATTTTCAACATGTCTTCATTGATTATACCATCATCCTATGCTCTCTTTGCCTGTCTTGTGGAGAGGAAATTGTTCAGGCAGATCTTGATGATATTATCAAGTAGTCACTGGGGTAGTGTAGATATTAGTGAGAATGGTGATTTTGTGGAGTGTTTGCTCTTAGCACAACCTTTCTATTTCTTCAATACAGGAGAATATGCCAGTTTCCATGCCTCAATTCAGACTTTTACTTCCATTAACTTGTCCTTTTGTTCACATTCTCTTCATTTTTTTAGAAGATGGATAATGATCATTGGTAATGGGTATGGCCATAGTCAGTGCTACTCAACTCGAATGTCACAATGGAAACAGGAGAATACAAACAGGCTAAAGGATGCCATTGCATGGGGAGCACCATCACAAAATCTTATAGAACATTTCAAGCACTGCTGTAGGTCTTGAAATAGGACTTTGAATGGTGCCCCAACTTAACTAATGCTACCCCAGCCTGTCTTATATTAATAAATGCATGAAAACAGTAATTAATCATGTTGTCCAGGTAGCTGTCCCTAACATTCCTAAAAGTTGTATGTGTTTTTCACACTATCCTAGTTCATTGGGGATACCTGACTGTCAAAAGACACAGAGAACTCATAAAGAACTATGATATTTTCTGCAGATATCATACTCTCACCAACTGCATATTGTTTCAAAAGATCTGTGCCCGTGTCTGATAGATAAGATATCAAAGACAGAAGGAATATCATATAAACATATCTAGCTGTTCCCCTGTCTTTAACTTAGTTGGCTATACAACTATAATCAACCATTCACTGTAGTGGAACTGAAATTTACCCTAAGTCAGTCCAACAATATATCAGTTGGACCAGAAAACATCTATTACAAAATGCTACATCATCTCTCTCCTGCCTCCTTCGATCTTCTAGTTCTTTTTAACTGGACCTTACTTGAGGAGGAGTTTCCTGATTTATGGTGTCAATCTATTGTACCATTATCTGAGCCTGGAAAAGATCCCAAGATTTCTTCTGAATGTAGTTTTATTATTTTGACCAACTATCTGTACAAATGCAAAGTTTTGGAGAGAATGGTTAGTGCTTATCTTGTTTGGTTTCTAGGATCATACAATCTCCTCTCCATCACCCAGTTGGATTTATTTACAATGATTCCACCGTGGACCTCATGATTTGACTGAAAATGTCAATAAGGATAGCCTTTGTCAAGAAAGAACGTACTATTATTTTTTTTTACCTTGAGAAGAATTATGACAGCATATGGAGGTTTAGTATATTACAGGTTCTCCTTTCATATGGATTACATGGCTACTTACCCATAATTTTTAGCAGAAATATCATTCTAAGTCTGTGTGGGATCAACACTATCCTGATCTTTCACACAGGACCCAAGAGTACCTCAGGGCTATGCTTTGAATCTCACGCATTTTAGCATTAAAATGAATGCCATCACTGAACAGCTTCTTCGTGTAGTTGATGATATTCATACTTCCTGTATGTCATCTAATAGAAGTTTGATTGAGAAGTAACTTCATATTGCTCTCAGTGGATTGCGTGAGTGGACCTTTACAAAAAAAATTCCAAATTTCATCATCTAATTCCATTTCCACGCATTTCTGCCACCATTGGAGATTACACCACGAGCCCAACCTTCATCTGAGAGGTTCATAAATTCCTGTTGTGGCTGAGAAAGATTTCGTAAAACTTTATTCAGACAGTAATTTGATTTTTACTCCAAACATAAAGCATATTAAGGCCAAGGGTACTAAGCATCCTCTCCTCTATCTCTTAGTGAGCGAATAAGTGTTCTGCACTCACAATCTATCGTGCCCTCATTCAGTCTAAGCTGGATATATGGGTCTTTGGTCTACACCTCAACCAAAGAATCTGCATTGGAGGGATTGAACCTCATATATCAAGGGCTTTGGCTTGGCACAGGGGCCTTCCTCACTTCTCCAGTCAAGAATTGGTACACAAACTCCTATAAACTGTCACTATATTTCTGATGTTTGCAATGCTTTTGCATGATGCTAAAAAACTCCAATCACTATCGTGTCATCCCACTTTTAATGTATCTTTC